CCCCGCCCCCTTCCCCCAGCCCCCCCCCCCCCCGGGGGCAAAAGCCCTGACCACCCTCTCAAGGGCTCGTGAGCCAGTAATTCCCGGCCACCACATCACCAAGTCCTAACTTCTTCTCAAAGGCCTCCTCATTCCACCACAACCGACTCGACAACTTGACCTCCTCAGCAAGTCCAGCCAAGCTCTTGATCTTAGCACCATCCAGCGCCTTAGGCTGCTCAAATACCATGAAGACGTAGCGGTGCGCGGAGCTGGGTTTGGGCGGACCCGGGGGCAGATATGAGACCAACCAGTTCGCAGGGCCCTCGAGCGGCGCAAAGCCGTCGCTGTCGGGGGTGCCAGGAACGAGGTCGAAATGTATGCCGTGCAAGATAGGGCCGAGGAAGGGGAAGGAGGGGAAAGGAGGGTCCAGATCGAGGGAGACGGAGATATATTTGGTGTCAGGCTCGGACTTGAGCGCGCTGGCGGCGATGGACATTGTCGGCGTTGGCGTAGCTTGAGGAATGCTCAGGTTGGCGGCCGCCGCCGTCACAGTGGCCTCGGGGAAGTGCAGGCGCAGTGTTGTAGCGTTCTTGGCGGCTGCGAGGGCCTTCACTACGCTTGGAGACTCTTTACCCATGGTGAAACCGTCGTCGCGTATTTTCCGCTACTATATGCTGAAGTAGGTATGGAGATAAGGAAGAGAGAGAGAGAAAAGGTTGGACGTAAACAACCCGTTGTCAGAAAAAGTTTATGCCGTCGGCTATCACTTTATTAACTACCTCGACTGCCTATCATTTGAGCAGAAACGGAGATAGTAGTGTAATACCGGAAGACCCACAGCGCCTATACTACGTGATGATAAATGTCCTAAATGTAACGCTGGAAGTATGCATGCAAGGACCTTAGTTCACTTCACTACTTTCTAAAATTTGCTGCCGAAGCACACTTCGAAGCGATTGGGTGAGCACCAGGTACCCGACCCGGGCTGGGCCGTGATCGGCTTCGCTTGTTTATAATGCTTACTAGTGGTGCAGGATACGGCACAGAAGATCTGGCTGTTCATGCTGCACGCACCGCATAGGTGCACTTACAAGCAGGGTTGGCATTTTAGTAAGTAAAGTAAGTATAAGCTATACTAATACTTACTAAAAGTATTATTTGCTCATACTAAATTACTAAAACCAAAAAAAAAAAATACTAAATTATACTTATTAATACTACAAATACTTTTAGTATACTTACTTACTAAAATAAAAAGTGGAGAATTAAAAATTAATGTTTAAATTTTTTAAAAAACTTTAAAACTATTAAAAAACAAATGTTAAAAATATATATAAAATATAGTTAAAATAAAATAAAATATTAAAATTAATATTTTAATATATTATATTAATATATAGTAATATTATTAACATAAACGAATTTTTATAATTAATATTAGTTATATTAATATAATATTTTATTTTTATTAATATATTATATATTAATAAAAGTATAAATAAATTAATAATAATATATATAAAATAAACTTTAAAATAAGCTTATAAACTATATAATTAATAAAAATACTACAACTTTTTAACTATTTTGCTAAATTTTTAAAATATTTTTTATTATTTTTTAATTATTTTTAAAAATTTTAAACAACGTATTATACGCTAACTAAAATAAGAAAAAATAAACGGTTAACACTGTTAAATAAAGCTTAAAGCGGGCTATCCAACCATATATTTTATTACTTTTTATATTTTTTTTAAGTTTTTATTATTCGAATATTTTAATTAAAATATTGATAAAATTACTTAAATAGGTTTAACGTTAAGCTTATCGATAACACTAAGCTTAAATAAGACTAGTTTTTAGTAAATAAGTATTTACTAATACTAAACTAAACTTACTACAAATTTTGTAGTATTTGCCAAGAAAAGTAAGTATTAGTATTAGCCGTACTAATACTTACTAATACTAGAAATACTACATACTAAATTACTAATACTACATACTACAATACTAAATTGCCAACCCTGCTTACAAGGCATAACTAGTCTATAACATCAGCCCAGAATCAGCCTATACTGGTATGGCATGCTTGCCGAAATCGTCAATTTGATCTCACCCCCCAGAAGGATTGCGAAGATAACGTATAAAATGTTCTTGTCCCCTCCTATTGTCTCAGCGACGATAAATGAATTGGACGTCGGACGTTGGACGTTGGACTAGTGTATAGTGAATGGTGCTAAACCAAGTCTCTAAAGCATTAGGTATTATTAGCCTTCAACATCTCGGATATTGGAATCGTGCATACTGTAGACATTGTCCATCAGTCAGCCATTTTCGTCATACATAGTTCCCAGCTTTCCCTATTCTGAGCGCGCCGACGTCTCGCTCTCGTATGAATGTATATACGCATAGATGAAATGAAAGCATCAAACAGTAGGTATCAAGCAATGTATCGAGACGTCATTCTGTGCCATGACGCTGATAAACCCTCATATTATACTAACGACAAAGGTGGAGATGGGCTTCCAGATTCGGGACCGGACCGGCAAAATAGCCGCCACGGAGCCGAGAAATCATGGCTGGGATCATCGAATTATCTCTCATTAGGTATACGAACCTCACATGCCAAGCCGACCTTAAAAACCAAGCTTCGCGGTTCGCGTCATTCTAGCGTCTCTCCTCCAATGTACAACAATGATTTCTCAACTCACTAGTCTAGAAACAGATATTTGTAGACCCATTTTGTAGCCTTTACGGGCTTACTTATACAAGGTGTTGCGACTGTTGTATAGTCATCGTAACCCGCAGGTTAGAAGGGATTTTGACGGAGAATTCAATACTAGCAACGAGTCGGGTGGGTTGCGAGTATATGGTTAGGAGGTTATAAACTACATCCTATGGGTTGGCGACGTTATAACTTCATGGACCTGTTGATGGCTAATGATCTGATGTGAAATAGTAACACCCCAAGACAATCACGTGGAAAGCCCTGGTAGCTCAATTGGTTAGAGCGTCGGACTTTTACAGGCTTTCTTAGCTTATAACTGGTTATCCGAAGGCTGCGGGTTCGACCCCCGCCTGGGGCGGAGTATTATTTTGCTGCATATTGGTTTATTCCTTTTTCTTTTGTAACCATCTTCTCTTAGCTTCCACCAGATTAATTTTTCAAAGAGGCAGATAGACTAGTCGTGTATAGTATATAAGATACAATAGAGGCCGAAAACCAATTAGCCCAGATGCTGGAGAAAAGGAACGCTTGGCAGCTATCTTCACGCTTCAAACGCTCAGGTTTTAGTTGAATGATGATCCTATTTTGATGAAAGTAAGTAAAACATAAGAGACAGAATCGTATCGAGTGTTCTCCAGAAGGTCCTGATCAGCATTCAAAGGAGTGCTGTCAGTTAGTTTTGCATGCGGACACCTAACGTCTTTCATCGACAGCCGATATGGTCAAGTCACCCTTAGTAACACAACCATACCCGTTGAGAATGATCGAAGGATATCGGAGTGCAATATAGTCGAACAAGACGGGGTAACACCTGGTTCGCTCCACGTGATCACGCGTTGCTATAACTAGTGTAGATCATAAGAACTTCGACGAGTCATGTTGCACTTACGGTGAGGGTTACACCGGTACTTTACAGCTTCGGGAGGCAACGGCGAACTATAGTGAGTACTTCTCGGAGCCGATCTCTTATTGTTTCCGTAACCTTTAGAGTACAAGCTTTCCTTTGACGCTAAGACAGTGTCTAAAGTCTTCTGAAGCCGTCAAAAATCGCGCCCAAAACTGCGATAACTAACTCCGAGTGTTCCAGTCAACACGCATTTCGAGCCGGTAAGTCCGATTGACACCGAAGAGATCACTTTCGCCGACGGCGTAACTGAATCTCAGCGAAGCCTGCGCGTTATTCACCTGCAACCCCGATGCTAGAGAAGCCATTATGCTAGGTAGACTGGTGTAAGGCGTATTTCTCGTGATCTATCACACGGACCCTAGGAACTGGGACCACCCGAGACCCTCGGCCTAGGACTCCATCATCATGTATATAATCATATGAGCGGCAAGGCTGGCTCTCGTACCCGTCCGATCGGCTATACTTGCTCTCGTATATACCTGATCGAATAAGACAGGCTATACGAGAGCAAGCGAGAGCAAAGAACGAAAGCGAGGCTTTCGCATATAGGGACCTGAGTCGCCACCTGGCTGAAAAGGAGGACTAGACCTTATGGCCCCCTTAACGCCCTAGATGATTATTGCAATTTGGACACTCTTCCAAGCCCTTGAAATCAAGTCCTTGTTACATGATCTCTGTATGCGTACGGGGTAAGAATCATGCTCTTCCCACCACGCCAGCGGTTCTGACTCTACTTTAGTGCGGACCTGGAGTGGGCAATACCGACCAGTCTACGCCTACCTATATCGCGGCTTTTGAAACTGGATACGGAGAAGCCAGAGCACGCGGTAGGAATATCAGAGCACTGATGATATGAAATCCCCACAATCCTCTTGGTGAGTAAGCAAACCCAGTGTTCGAAGTGTTGGTGTTCTCAGATCTTAGCCAGGCCACCGTTATCCTCGAGAAACACTTATCAGTCTTCTACAACTTTGTGCTAGAAAGAAAATTCATTTGATTTGCGACGAGATCTGTGGTTTGACAAACTCTGTAGGACTTCGGCGCTGGTGGCATGCGCCTGGGATGAATAGTATCGCAGAATCGCGACTTCACTGACGCTGTGCGGTCAATTTGTCGATTTTCTTCGCCATCACACCTTTCCATCGAGATCGCAGCTAGCTTTCTCGAGAATCAAGACTCTAATATCCGATCATTTCTCGACAAGTCACACGCTCGGTTGCTTCATGAATAGGCTGGTGGCTGAGTCGCTTCTTTCTCAAGCTGGCACCGGCTTCCACGACAAGGGGTATGTAACTGATGACTATACACTCGCCTGACTGTGATACTGGCCGGTAGATCGTTTCCTGTGGGTTTTGGAAGTGGATCAGCTATTAACGTGCCAACACAACAGGAATTCCGGCTTGTTCTTATGGCTAGACTTAATCCCTTTCCTGCCTATCGGGGAAACGACCGGAGATGGTTGGAAAGCGCAAAGATTGTTATCAGAGCGGTTAGAACAGACCGGTGCATTGATGTCAGCAGGTGAAACCTATCGGACTCCTGTGCCAGGTACGTTTCGTCTTATATTCTCGCTCCACGAGAAGAGTTTGAGAGATGGTCTTCGAAGGTGAGTAGCATAGCTCTGACGAGGTCATATCGTGCGTTGTTCATCGCTGACGGCCGACTTGTAGGATATCTCGTGTGGTTTCAGGTCGCTTTGTAGAGTATGTACACCTATTCCAATAGGTAACCAATAATCGAACGTTCCATGGAAGGATATAATGGTGCACGGCAGTATACTTTACTGATGTAGGCGACGGAAGGACATCAGTTGGCAGAACGCAGACACATTTTACTGTACAATCATGAATACACTTGATTACAATTTTAATTTCCTCATAATCCAGGCCTAAAATTTTGTAAGGCGATTCCTAGTCGACAACTATCTACCGAGTTAGATGATATCCAATAGCTCGTATTGTACGCAATACCGAGAATCCAGATTCCGGAGTCTTCAATACTTTTAATGACAAATCACTAAGCATACTACACGACGATAAAAACAATAGTGTGATCACATTCTACGTGGTGAGGCTAGTCGAAGACGAGGAAGTTCGTCCAACCTGGAGGAAACAATGCAGCTCAGATATCTGGGTAGAGCAAGCAAATTTAAGGAGGTTGGGAAAGGGGACGACATAAACGTTTCTGGCCTTTAAAAGAAATTTGTTGAATGCTCGTTTTCGTGTTTCAGCCTATAATTATATTCTTTTTGGTTAGAATATGCTTTCGTCCTAGAGGCTCTGGGCAAGGGAAGTGATGGTTATGAGTTCTATTACCTTATTCATCAACCGTAATGGCCAAAATAGAGTTTCTCTACCCATAACAACCTAGGCCAACAATGCAATAGGTGCCTTCTGTAAGGAAGAAGGTATCCCGAACTCGTGAAACATCTTAGAAACATAAAATTCACGAGAGTCAACTTTGTCACAGCTTTGTTCACTGTCACATCAGAAATCTTACTCATAAATATATCACAACATGAGGCTTAGTGTCAGGGAACTAGTTGCCAACTACCCTATGGGGTAGAACTAGTGAATATTGTATATATAAGTGACTGAACCCCCCTTGGATTTAGGAGGTTCGGGAATCAATTGACTACACTATTGAGCCCTAACTACTACCCTGGTTGCAAACAGGTCTCTCTATTCACTCCGGACATACCCCCTGACACTTAGTCACCATATAGGCTATGCAGAATCGTTTCAAAGCGGTTGTGAATGTCTTGGCTTAGTTAATGAATATGATAAATAGTTTTAGGCGTCCAAGAAGGCATGTTGCGATGTCTTTAAGCATCCTAGGGTCTTTTGGTAGAAATATTCAAGAAGTCTGAAATAATATAGCGATTCGAATTACTAAAATTAGAAACCCATAGAGACATTATGATTATGTTCTGTTTTACGTAAGGATATAAGACTCGTGCACTATTTCCACATAATATGCAGGTACTTGCTACTGGAACGTTAACGCCTTGCGCAAAACTTGTATTTAGGCGATAAACAATAGACCGGGGATTCAGGTGCCGAGTATTGGGGAACGGAACACCGATAAATGACATACTATTCTGGTAGTTCTGGATCGTTCAACTATGAGATGATATGGAATTATCCACTCTGATATGATTTGTGTGGAGTGTGGGTGGTTGGATAATGGCCTTGGACCTCAAACATCCAGATCACCTGCACCAAGCAACAAGCAAGGGAGAGGGGTTCTTTTAAGGAGCGCCAACCATAACTGACGGCCAAGGCAACCAACAGGGGGGTTCATGCGATCCTTAGCGTTAATACAAACATAAAAACGGTATAACAACATGATTGTGTTTAATGACGTTTCCAGAAGCAGGAGGTGTTGTCCCGGTTACATAGGCCATTCAATGGCGCTGTGGTGAATAGATACTCTGGGGTTTGCTCCGGAGTCTGGGAGATATGCGTTGGTTCCCTCTTTCGTGCTATTGTTACAATAATACGTGATCAAAATATCGTCGCTGAGTTTGAGGACAGAGAATCAGACCAAAGCGCTCACAATTGCTCCGCCAAACCCCAGATATAGCACTCTAAAGGTAAAAATACGGGCATCGTTCCGCGGTAGTGTGTGTTCGTTGAACTGGAATCTGGTTCTGCTTGGTTGTGTTTCTACAATCGCTGCCGCCGCCATGATACTGATCGTGGTTCTTCTCGCTTGCTTAGCCCTTGCGGGCGTTGGTGTTGCAGCACCTACTCGGCCAAACATCGTGTTTATCATGACCGATGATCAAGACCGACGTCTCAATTCCTTGGCTCACATGCCATTTCTCCAAAGCGAGCTTGTCGCCAAGGGTACGGAATTCACGAAACACTACACGAACCAGGCCCTTTGCTGTCCAAGTCGTTCAACGTTGTTGAGAGGCCAAACTGTCCGTAAGTATCATTCCTCCATCTATTTGAGATACGGCAATAACGATTAGACGCTTAGACAATACCAACTTGACCAACGTGTCTCAGCCTGGGTATGTTACTCATGCACAACGAGCGTTAATAAACCATCAAAGATACAGGTGCTGATACAATGAATTGAAAGAGGATCATACAACAAATGGGTGCTGTCAGGTCAAGATAAAGATTACCTTCCCCATTGGCTGAATGCTGCCGGCTACAGAACAGAATGTGAGCTGAATGAAAACCCAGAACAACTTCACGATAGCTCACACTTGACTAGACATCGGCAAGATCATGAACGGCTATGGTTTATCCAACTACGATGTCAAATCGAAGGGTTGGGACTGGAGCGACCTACTTGTGAGTGTTCAAACGAGCGTACATGTAGACTATAAACTTATGTTTCTTAGGTTGAGCCCTATATTGACGATTACAACCTCCCTGTCATGTCGCAAAACGGTATGTCTTCGATTATTAGACTGTAGACTGCAGCATCCGAAG